CCCGATGATCTTATTGTTCTGCTACTGTTATGGATCTTGCAGGTGAAAAGTGTTTTGCAAAGCAGACCTCAACAGGAGAAGAGCCCAGGAGAATCCTGAAGCTTTGCTTCACTCTCAGGAAAAGGCCATAGTTCAGCATGGTTTACCCTACTCATAGATCACTGGAATAATTGCTACGAGTTGGAAGTAAGATTAAGAAGTAGCATCTCAATCACATCAAAAGCATGCTACCATTTCAATCTGCTTACACAACCAGAGGAGTTGTACATAGAGAGATCTGGGGGTCACTGCAGCAGAGACCAGCTTTTTGGGTCCTTGAAAGGAAAATTTCTTTAGAAGAAACAGAAGAGGGACTGCTGTTATTCGAAATATGGGAAAGAACCCACTAACAACCAACAACCAGACAACAAAAAAGCCCAACGCAAACATCTCGCTGCAAACGATGCATCAGGGTTGGTTATATGGATCTGTGTTTTGTTTCAGGCAATTACTGATCAGGAAGACCTTAGAGTAAAGGAGTGCAAAGGACTCCAAAAGGGCTGTCAAGCATCGGAACAGGCTGCCCAGGGATGGGGGTGAGTCACCATGCCATGCAGATATGGCACTTTGGGTTCAGTGGTGGAATTGTCAGTGCTGGATTAAAGGTTGGACTTGATGGCCTTAAAGGTCTTTTCCAGCCTAAATGATTCCACGACTCAGGCATTTGATGTCTAAGGGGCTGACACAGACCGCCCCGTGTTCCCACTGCAGTGACTTTCATTGTGCTAAGATGCCTTGTGTTTGCACATGCTGGAAGTGATTCAGAGCAGGCACTCCAACTCACAGGTCACACTTGCACTATGCTGGCTAAATTCCTCCTGGTTTTTGGCCCCGGATCTATTCCCATCAGTTTAACGGTACTTTTCTTCTCGCAGGAGCGATGCAGAGCTACATGCATTGATGTGTCACAGAAATCATTCAAGTGCAATAAAACCAGACAAACACAGAAAGACTAGAAAACAAGGTAAAAATGAAGTAGCCCGAATACACCAATTCAAAACTGACTCTGGGAGTCAAGAACCGGTGAGGTATTTTGATTTCCCCATCTGATTTTTAGTTGAATATGTAGACGACTTGCAGAAGATCTATACTGCAATATTTCAATTTGATTAGCAAAACCACAGTTAACACCAAGAAGGAAGATGATGCAAGACTGGTTTTGGGTGGTTTTGTTCTTTTTAATCCACTGAAAACAGTCTCTCCTAAAGGCCTTTTTTAATACTGAATAGAAACGGTAGTCAACAGGCAGATTTATCTCCTGTCACCCTGAGTTAAAGCACCGAATTGTGCCCAAAGACAAAGATAAAAATCAGCACTGCACCCATGCCCAAATTTGTCAATGCTTTTAGCTTATTTCAAATAGAAAAATCGGCAAGCTCCTTGCATCTGCTTTTAAAGTGGACTGTGGGGAAGGCAATTCTGCTTTACCCTGCTGCTCTCCCAGCTTGTGCATTTATCTCCTTAGCTTTCTGAGGCATGCTGTCCCTCTTTGTTCCGATAAGAATACTCCGCTAATTCTCCTTCCTTTCCCTGCAGTATTCACGTGGAGGCTGGCACAAAGTGACACCTGTATGGCATTCATCCCATTGAACGATGCAGGGAGCAGTGCAGGGCTGTGGGAGGACAGGTCAACTGGATAACCCTTGGGGCAACCGGACCACCTCTTACCCCTAGAGCTGCTGACCACTGCTATTGCACAGTGTTATCACGTTGTATAACATCCCCCTTTAGACCTTTGCTGTTGGGCACAACCAAGTGGTTTATAACCCTCTCCTGGGAAACAGGCCTCCAGAGATTGTGCATGTACATTTTAACCTGATTTCCAGGTAAAAAGCTTCTGACCTGGCTCATGCAGCATTTGCCCAGGGGATTGACAAGCAACAGAAGAAAAAGACTGGGATGGAAAGCCACCTGTACATCTTGCAGGTGTTGATAGCCACACAGTGGTCTGTGCAGACAGACCCCACCTGCAGAGGTCAGTCCTACCCTGCTGCAGTGGTGGCTTTGTACAGAAGGGATGATGGGATTAGCTCTGATTCTTTCTCTAGGTTTGCTGACTTGCTGCCTGCTATATTGTACATTCTGAGTGCTCTGTGGAGTTCCTATCAGTATGGAAAGCACCACTATTAAGCCTTGGAATCCATCCTGGCTACAGTTGTGCAGGTGTCCCGATTCAATGCTCTCTCTTCAGGAAGCTGAAGACTATTTCCTGCAGTAGGCATTTTTGTGAGGGAGCTAGAACACTGAATTTGAATCTACAAGACTTCATGTATACCTTGCTGCACTGGAGGGTAGAAGAGTTTGAAACTAGTAGGAGATTCAACTGGGATTCAAAACCAGGGAGAAACCTGAGGGAAAACCTCAAACAAATACTCCTGTCTGAAGCATATTAGGATGTTGTTATTCAGACGATCCTATAAATGAAGAAACACCAGCAATTTGTCTAGTTCCCAACTAAGAGGAAAGCTGATAACATGTATTTCTACTGCTTTGCAAATCCTAAGAAGAATTGTCACTGTTTAATGGCATGGTCCCATCAAAATCATTGCAGCATAGTGCTAGAGCGTGCTTGCGAGCCATCGTTATTCCCATGCTCACCTCCAACGTTCTGCTTATAGACACTTCACTATAAAAGGATGTTGAATACATGGAAAAGCAAGGGCTTGTTTTCAGAAGGGGGATGTGTGCTTTCTGCCTCTCCTCATGCTCACAAAAGGGCAGAGGAGCTTTTGACAAGGAAAGGCTCAACAGGAATTGCTGTATATGTGAACATTCCAAACTACCTGCTCCCTCAGGTACACTTTGTGTAACAGCAACATTGCACTTGTGTCTTGTTTGAGAAGCAGGCAAACAGAGGGGACTTGCTTACAAAATCAGCACTCAGAAATGGACTTGAAAAGGTTGGAGACTGAAACCCTTTCAATGCTGGAAGTTTGTAAAGGAATACTGTGGGTAGACAAACCAAGCTCTGTTCTTACAGTTAAAAGTGGTGGGTTCACTCTTCCACTTAACATGCCTCAACTGGGGAATATTTGAAGGGCTGCAATTAAAACCACCCCAAAAACGTAACAAAACCAAACCCCCACTTCTTGTAGTTAATACAAGTACAACTTCCTTGTCACTGTACAGTTCTCATTTACAGTATCTGCATCCAATTTACGTACCTACAGCTAATCAGATTGTGCACTACAGGCACTTCTGCTTACAAATACAATCACCCTTTTCTCCCCTCCCCTTTGTTTGTCTCTTCCTTTGAAAGGTCCCTGATGTTTCTTCTCCTCCCTAACACCACTGCTATGCTTTTCTGTTCCATTCAAGAAAGCTGCTAGCTTATGGCACCGGCACCTGAATCTGGCCTCAGCACTCCCTCCATGCCCTAACCTCTGCCAGAAAAGGAGGAGGAAGGAGATAGCCGACTGAAGGACAGACCAAGGGGATGAGAAGGCAAACGCTGAATAAAAACAGATCAGAAGCACAAGGGGAGTGCACAAGGACATGACTCAAGGCTCAGTAATGACAGTGAAGGTGACTGACATGGGTTAAAAGAACCTCTTCTTTTCTTCACTGTGCCTTCAAGTTGGTAGGCAAAGGGGATCAGTCCCACCGCATATTTAGAACTTGAAGAGCAAAGGAAAGGAAAGGAAAACGTACTGCTGCAGCACTATTTTTGTCTGAGAGCGCCTTTAAGAAACTTCCTTTAAGTTTTGATACAGAACAAGCAACACTGCCCCACACTTGTTAAGGAAAACAGAGCATGAACTCCCTATTACATCAAGATGTGTAACCCAGTGTTGTTGCTTCATAAAACAAAGTAACGCATCCATCAGTCAGTGAAGTTTCTCCTGTCCATCAAGCGACACACACTCTTGCAAGAGCTTAAGCTTGTCCCCTGTGAGAAGGTAGGTGAGCATCCTTGTCAAACGATTCACCCCAATATGACACTCGGTGTTTGCTTACAGTAAGGGTTCTCATACCCACTACACAATTTTCAGTTATAGAACTTTCTACTTGAGTCCTCCTCAAGTTATTCCCCCTGATAACTCAGTCATTCCTCTGTTATGTTCCCCTAACTCCTTCCAGCCTATGTAACCCTTGGTGCGCAGTGATACGGCCTTTTGGGGAGCGTGATGGAGTGAGATTTCAAGTTGCCAACAACACAAGGCCCCAGTAAAAGCCATTCTCATGGCTGAGACACACTGATTGCAGAAAGAGATAAAGCTATCATCGCCACAAAGCTGTGTGAGCTCATGCTCCACACCATGCGGTACTGGATCACAAGCAATGACTATCAGGCTAACTGCAGTGGGTTGCCCATCATATGGGGGCCTTTAGCTTCAAGCTCTGGCAAAACTGCTTAAATCTGAGAGTCCCATTGCCTTACTCCTTGCAGACAAGGCTGATTAAATAATCTGAAAATGCCTATGGGCATGACAACATTGTGGAGGTCTTCCATATCAGCATGGCATTCGACACAATGCATCTCTATTTCCAAAGTTAATAGAAATCCCCATGGGTAACGTTTGCTTCCCTCCTGGCTCGCTGTGGGATGCAGCGATGACTCCTGGCTCACTGTGATGGATAGGCTCCGAACAGCAGTGGTTGACATTTTCTACGTGTTGGCCCTTTAATACGGGTTTTATGTTTGAACAGTTGCAATGAACATTCTGCACTGCCTTTAATCCTGGCTGATAAATGAAGCATGAGCCTCCCTCTAACCTTGAATACTCTCGCAGCTGATGCTTGTTTGATATGATCTGCATTTTTCCATGGATCCTGTTGGAAACTGTCCAATTACTTCTCCCCAGCTATCGAAGGAGCATTGCCATTGACTGCTTAATGCTTTTGCTAAAAATTATTAAGCATGCCTGCTTCTTTTTTTTTGCCATACAATAGTCATAAATATCATTTAACCAGTTCCCCAGATTGTATAAAATCTATACAAAAAGGTCAAGAGATCCTACAGCAAAAGGCAACTGAAAATCCTTGGACAAAAAAAAAGATGCTGTCTTACTGCCTGTAAACTGATTTAAATCCAAAGTCATGCAGTAAATCTGTGCCTCGGTTAAGCATATATCCATGGAAAAACAGTCTAATTCTGATGTCATATCTGGAATGAGATGAGCATGAAAAAAGAAAACAACACTAGGAATAATCCCTCCTCCTTTCTTTCTCACATGTCAGATTTTACTTGAAGGGCACTTTGTGATATATGGGTCTCCATGTATCTTTCCCCTTCTAGTTATAACCTTTCTAAAGCACACACTTTACTAACGAGGAAAAGCTGCAGATCAAAGCATGACAGTTGAAACCACAAAAACAAGGAGACAAGGTTACTGGAACAAAACCAAGCAGCAAAACTGATGAAAAGCCTTCAAGTACAGAGCGGGCTGATGAAAATCAGTGTGCGCTGCATGAACTGAGTAAAAAGGGGATGAAACAGAAGAGAAGCAGGAAAGCCTGATGAAAACCAAGGGCTGAAGAAAGCACAGGAAGCTGATGACTTGGGTTTTCCAACCAGAAGCTCTGCAATGCCTTTAGAATTTAAAGGAGAAACCACTGACGGTGGCACCAAACCACCAGACAGGATAAGGAGGAAGGATACCAAAAGAAGTTTCTTCTCCTGGGTAAACTGAAGTTGGGACTGTTCAGCCTGGAGGAGAGAAGCTGCCTGGAGACCTCAGAGCAGCTTCCAGTGCCTGAAGGGGGCTACAGGGATGCTGGGGAGGGACTCTTCATCAGGGACTGCAGCCATAGGACAAGGGGTGATGGGTTCAGACTGAAACAGGGCAAGTTCAGGTTAGATCTAAGGCAGAAGCTCTTCCCTGTGAGGGTGCTGAGCCGCTGGCACAGGGTGCCCAGAGAAGCTGTGGCTGCCCCATCCCTGGCAGTGCTCGGGGCCAGGCCTATATGAAAGCACAGTGCTGCGCCTCTTGCTATTTTTTGAGCCCTAAAAATGGCTGGACAGCCCACAAATTGTGTCAAATTAGCCAGCAGCTAGAATGGGCTCTGATTCAATATACGCACCTTCAGCTTCTTTTGCTGAAGCCCCTACCAACCCCAGAAAGGAATAGGAGATATTATTTCTCTTACAGCTTACCCTTCAGTAAATCTCTTCTTGTATAGGTAGGAAATGCAATTGCATTCCCACACACTTCGATGACAAATCTAGGGAATACTGCCAGGAAAACATTGCTTTCCTTCTAAATTTCACCACACAACTTTAGTACATGGAATAAGGGTTGCAGGAATCCAACTCTTGCACCATTGATGTAGCCACCATCTAGCATGTAAAGTGTGGGTCAATGCCTTTTTAATGCTACCTTAGGAAAGCAGGTGAATTTTAACCACTGCATTCCTGTAAGGGCTTTTTAAACCCCACAAAACCAAGGAAACAGAGGGAGATCTTCATATTGCAGCTGCCTCGAGTTCTTCAGTCATGCTCGGGTACTGTTGTACTGCGCGCTCTCCTACCTTTGAGGCACGTATCAGTGCGGCAGGCATCACGAATGACATGAGGATATTGCAAAGAGATCTCTGCCTGAATGCTTGTGTCACTTCTAAGTCATGACTTAGAGAGGGGAAGAAAATGTAGAACAGCAAATGCTGGAGCTTGGCGCGTTGGGAGGACTGCAGAAGAGGAAAAGGAGTTTGACATCAAACCGCACTGTTTGTACCACGAACATGTACCTCCGTAGAGGATGATTCAGTTCAAGTAAGAATTCCTCCCCTGTGCAGCCATTTAGCCCTGCTCCAGTTTACCCCTATTTAAAGGGTGCCCAGTGATTTAGTGATACTTTTGGGAAGTTTTTCTTTCTTTTAACAGTATTTTTGTTAATTCAAAGCCAGAGGGAACAGGAGTCAGATTCATTGATGCCTCAGATAAGGCAAGGGCACATTCCCAGGCCGTGGAAAATCCCATTCCTTTCCCTGCCAAAAGGGATGTGACCCCACAGCATCCACATTCACCAGAAGGAGCCCTAGTTACCACACTGCTTGCTGGTGGCACCCCATACACCCCAAGCTGTACTTCCAAGTCCTTTCCTCCTGCATCACACCAGACCTGACGAGATGCTGGTGAACATGCCCTGTCTTTAGGGTATTTCCTGGTGGGGTGGAGGCAGAAAAGCTGGGGTGCTGGCACCCTCCCTCCCTTTGCTCTCACGGGAGAGCTGGCCAGGGCAATGGGTACCCACCCTCCACATTTCAAGAGGGCTTAACAGTGAATCTGGGGGAAGACAACAAGAGAGCAGAGATTACAAGTTTATACTTAAGGTAGATAGAAAATAATAGCCAGGGATGGGGAAGCGAAGACTTGAGTGAATGCGCTTCTACATCTGCTCCCCAGCGCAGGGGGTTGCTTTAGAAATAGTTCTTTCTATATAGAAAATATAAGAAAACTGAGGCTGCTGGGAGGAGCCAAAGAGCTACTCAACACTGCAAAACACAGGAGCAGGGTGCACTGATTCCCAGCACCATGCCATGCTGTTTAGCTCCCAGCAGAAATGGCCCAGGTGTCATCAGCACAGCAGACGACACAAATAACATGAGGATGGTGCAGTGAGAGCTGAAACAGGCTTCTGTTTGAATGCTTTATGTCGCTTCTAAGTGATTTCTGTTGAAGAAATCCCTTTTTGTTCACCACACACAGTACATTTCTTACACAGAGAAAATCAGAAGCATGGAATATGGAGGTAGCGATTTGTGTCTGGACAAATAACTTTTACTTCTGATCAGGCAATCTTAGGCCAAAGGACACTGCACAGTAATAGCTGTAGAAACTAATAGGAAATGCACTTGTGTGAATGATTCATGTACAAGATTAGGATCCCTTGTATACAGGATCGGTGCTCACAGAATTGTGTCATCTGAATGCTCATGGGAAAATGTGGAAGAAGCGCAATCAGGTGATGGGAATGTTTCCAGACTCTAAGATGACTGCTGCAGCAAGAGCTTTCCACTACTGATTCAATGCTGTTTGGATAGCCTGTGATTCCAATTACCTTTATACAGTCTTGAAATGCAGATTTAGGCAAGCAGTGCTACAGTTTTAGGCGACGCAATGCTGTATCGTTATACTTTGCAAGGACCGCTAATGCATTGCCATTCCTGATGGCCTTAAATGTAAGGTAAAACTACAATCGAGTTTGACACTATTATCAACCTGCTATTTAAACCTCCTGAGATGAATAGATGAAGCTCTTAAAGGAGTGTTCTCTGATGCAGCTGTGGAGATCATGCTACACAAAAATGATTTTTTCATTTATCTCTCTTTGGAAAATTAAGGATTATTTCACTGCCCCTTGTACTTAATGCACTTCATTGTTATCTTAGTGAGACAGGCTGTACTGGCCCGTTGGATGAGACTATCTTGCAGCGCTACTCTGTGGGATCTAGTCAAATGCTCTCTGTGCCATAGATCCTGCCTTTAATGTAGGTACATCTGTATGGACATCACTGCCCAAAAGACTAAATGGCAGCTCCTGCTGAAGCAGGGTGTGGGAGCCTTTTGCCTCAAAGCAGCTCTAAGAAGATCACTCAGAGCAGGCACACTGGGTCTGGGAAACTACCGAGTGGTAGCTCCCATTTCTCAGACAACATCTGCTGCCAAGGGGATGCCTCAGTGCGGATGGCTCACATGCTTGCTCAGTGTGATTCAGGAAGCGCCTTCTCTGTTTCACTGGAGGAGCTCTGCTTCAAAGGGCAAACCTACTCGTCACAGGAAATAAGAACCTGAAACTTGCAGGGAAAAGGATGTGGAGGAAAGGGAGAGCTGGCAGATGGAGCTGCATGCCAGGGATGGTCCTGCCAGCCCATAAATATTGATGACTTCGCAGCCTCTAAACATAGATTATTCAGGACCCTGGAGCCTGCAGCTGCACGGTCACAGCTTGCTGCTCTCCGAAAGAGCATTCCTGACCTGAGAATGTGCATACGTCTGTCTGAGAACCCCCCGCTGCTCTTTTTAACCCTGCTGAAACAACGCTCTCCTCCTCCTCCTCCTCCTGGAGCTTATAGTTCATCATAGTAATGCAAAAGGCAAAAGCCATTTACCCTGCAACAGTCTGAGCAGGTTGCTACAAGGTAGGAGATAAAACTCTTCCCTTTCTTCCCCTCCTCCTCCATAAACTGTCTTCATATAAGCCACTTTTTGTCTATTTAATAGAAAAAAGCAGAAGTTTCCAGATAGCAACAGGGACAGCTCATCTGTGCATGCACCGTGAGTAACCTAAATGTATTTGGCAGAGGGGATGCAATAATAAGAGCAAAGGGCCATCTTAGATTTGCCTGCTTCCATTTGGCTATGGATCCAGCTAACCTCTGGGACTCAGACAGACATCCTTAAGAGAAATGCATTCAAGATTTGGGCTGGGTCCCAAGTTCAATAAGCCAAAACTGGACGTGACATTCTGAGGATGATAAAGAAATACAGGAAAGTACCAAAGTGCAAACAAGGAGAAGCCAAGCCACAAAGGATTCAGCAAAGTATTTCAGCATCTCTGAGAAAACACAGAGCATCAGGAGCAAAGAGAGCCCATCATCAGGGGCTGGCTCATGTTTCAAGGACAGAACTTAAAAGGGTACTACTGGAGTCTATAGCAAAACAGGAAAAACTTAATGTTTGCTTACCACTGGGAAAATAAATACATACAGAGTTTATCATTCTCTCATTCTTCAGCACATGGCTACCGCAAATTCATGCTTAAGGCCACGTTATGTAAGGTCTTACTCTACACATATTTTGTTGACTTACCTGTGCTCTCAGCCTTCTGTGTTCCAGCAGGGCCACGATCTCTCAGTCAGCATCTGCAAAACTACTCAGAGGTGTAACAGAGCTGCCTGAGGTGCTCTGAAGCTGGTCCACACGGAGGAAAGGGCAGGGCTGGGGCTACCAGACCAAATTTATTCTGGATAACACTGCCACATGTTCCCAATTTCCCCAGAACCTCAAACACACATCAGGGCTTTCCCGAGGAGAGAGGCTTCTCTTCACTGGGGGCTAGTGCAGAAGGTGCTAATTGAATTAGGGATGCAATTGGGCACAGGTGTGCAGCATTGCTGCATGCAGCCAGTAACCTTGTGCCTCCAACAGCATCACAGAGTTATCATTTCACCTGGGGCATCTCTGCAGTGGGTGAGGCACCACAGCTCACTTCCTCGTATGGAAGAGCTTGCTGCTGAAACAAAAAGCTTGGACTCCCTGTTACAGATTACCAGTAGGTTTAGGGGTTAATCAGTTAACTGGAAATTGTTTGGGAATATTACTGTCACCTTTATTTAGGCCCCATAGACACAGAAACGTTTTGTGTCCGTGCTGTTCTCAGCTCCTTCTGGAATCAACCTTTTTGCATGAGTTCAGAACAGCCTTTTTTCACTGCAGCTGTGCCAGCACTGATCTGTGCTGCTTCCTCTCTGGCTTCAGTGTCCTGGTTTTCTTTCCAGCTGAATGGCAGCACAAAGTCAGAAGCAATTCCTATTGAGCACACACATGCAGCCGACCTGGAGATATGTATGGAAATCCCAAGCTGATAAAACAGTTATAAGAAACCCTTCCATGGACTCCTACCAATGTATGTCAAGCTGGTTTTCTTCCTTCTCCTTAGCTCCCCTTTTCTTTTCCTTTTCCTATACAGTTTGCCTGCTTATCGTCAGGTCATCGCTAACGCCTTCCAAGACTTGACCAGAGTCGGTGAAAGAGCTGTTTTTAACCCACCAGCAGTAACACCTCACACTGAACGCACGTCCAGACACCGTGCACAATACACAAAAGTGAGACACCAGGTTTGAATGCAAACTGTTTCGAACGACCTCTTTCTTCCCATCTCAAATCACTCCTAAGCCACACGGGTAAAACCCATCTTTGAGAACATGGGCACTGATGCAGTAGCACAAGCCTTTCGGTTATGGAAACCTCCACATGAGGTGCAAGCACAAACCACCTCCCAGCATGAAGCCTCGGGGACCTGAAACTGTAGTGTCCCTGAGGAAACCTGCTGGACTGGCACATGTTCTTGTGCAGCTTAGGCTCTGCCCTCTGGCTCTCTGCTGGCTTTCCCTTCTTTAAGAATATAGCGCTTGCACACTTGCATTAATGTTAATTCACACTGATTTCACATTTTGATGTGATTTCTGTTTTACTCAGGGCCTCAAGCCAGGGTTTTCTGCAGCTCGACGGAACTTCGGTTTCGCTTTACTGCAAATGATTCATCCTTTCCTTAACAATAATATTTATTTCTACATTCACTTCAGAAGGTCTTCGCCTGTTGACACCAGCATGGTACCATTACCAATATATAAACAAAGAGAAATTATAACACGGAGCCTGAATCAAACTTGTACGCCGTGTCTGCGGTTGACTTTTGAATGGCTGCAGCTCCAGTGAGTTTATCCACATAAAAGTAATAATTAACATTCCCGAAGTAATAACTGTTCGGCCACATTTCAAACTGCCAGCTCAGATGTTTGCATGCTTCCAGTATGAGCACGATACGGCTCGGTCTTAAAGCTGCCACAGCACAGCAGGTTACTCAGCGTGCATAAAAAGAACTGACATTACGTTCAGCAGGGACTTTATCTTGTTTGAATAATCCTCCCTACAAGATTGCTTCAGCATGCAATGTGTTTCATTTAAGCGAAGTCAGAGAATGCAAAATAATGTGGAGTAATTATGCTATTAGATGTTGCTATTACTGTTTTAAGCCCTCTGCCTCAGAGCATAAAGGGTTTTCTCAAGGCTAAGAATTGTCAGCAGAAGATCAAATGCACCTCTTGAGTAACCTCATTAAAAGCAATGAAGTTTCCTGAAGACTGAAGTCGGTCCCTTGCTAAACTACACCGAGAACTAGGAAAAACACAGGAATACAATATATCATATGCTTCCAATTGGCATGAACTCGTATTTCTACAACACCCCAACCTGAAGTTCTCCAAAGACTTTACAGTCCTCTACAGAACAGAATAACCCATCTAGCAGACCAGCTGCTGACACCTCTGTGTGCTAAGACGCACCGATGCCGTAACTGCATCCCGGAGGTGGGCACCTGCCAACATCAGCCAGAGCATCGGCTTTGGTTGCTGTCTCATCGGGCTCTCTGTGTCACACTCATCTGGTTGGGAAACAGAAATGGCACCTTCAGGTAGACTTAAAGAGAAACAGATGTCTGACGCTGCCAGGAATGTGTGTTTTGAAACCCCCTCCCTCAGCCGCTAACGAATCACAGGCCGGCAGTCCTGAGTTCATCCCTAGCGCCCAACCCAGGCGTGACACTGCAAGAGCAACTTCCTGAGTAACTATGGACAACTGCGGCTCCTGAGGTCCGATGGCAGTCTCCTGTAGAAAAATACAGCGGAGTACTAGAGTGAGTAGCGACTGTGAGCCATTCAGCCACTAGGCTGAAATTCTCTCTGATTACTATTTGATGATATCTTATGCTCAGCATGAGTTCGTAATCTCCTTTCCTACATCCTACACAAGATGGCAATGGATCGTTACAGTGAGTGAGGCAGCTATTGTAATTTTTATTGGAGGTACCAAAAAGGCCTTTTGTCTTCAAATACAGTTCATTTTCAGTCAGGATCAAAACCTAACGGGGAAAACAAGAGGGAAGAAACTCAGCCAGGACTGCTATTTGACAGAACACCACCTCGCCACTGTCCACAAAGACAGTAAAAATTGTGCTCGCTTCCTGAAGTTGTATTACTTTTAACAGCAAACGCTTTTTTTGCCTTACTATGTAACCTTCTGTTTATTTTCATGGCTTTTTCCTAGTGTCCTAGCCCTCAAAGGGAAGCATTCCTTACCAGCATACTTTATGTTGTTGTGACAATGCTACACGGCTTATTCTAGGAAAGACTTGCTGGGATTTATTAGCTAGAGGGCTACTTACTAACCTGACACGTGGAAAATCCTTTTCAGCTTTGCAACTGAGAATACTGCCCGGTGGATGCCATCCGAGCAGTTACGCAGAGCCAGCCTACTTGTACCAGCTGATACGAACATGTCAGTCTGGCAGAGCACTGATACTTGTATGTAAAGTTAAGCTCCTGAGCAATTACATGTGAACTCAAGTGCTGTGCTGGGCTGAAGCCACAGGACCTGAACCAAAACTCGTGGAATTTGATCAGAGTATTTTAAATAACTTCAGTGGATTCTGGATCAGGTCCATGCTGTCTGCTAGAGGTATTGGCTACATTTTTCCAAATAAAAGAAGTTAGGAATAATATATCAAAACCTTTGATCCAGGACTAGCAGGCCCAGGAATTAAGACTCAGTGCCTTTATATGATGAATTTACAGATTTCCTGAACTTAGGAAAGCATGAAAAACACTGACAAATACTTATGTTGACATACAAATAAGTACAGGAGACCAAAGGCTAGAAAAGGCATTCTAATCCTTTAAAAATATTGAACCATTCCAGAGCAGAGAGAGTCTAATGATTTCAGTCCCCAGTTGCTTACACAAGCCCTAAGCCCTGTATCCATGATGACATTTCATTTTACATCACTTGTTTCTTTAATCAGTTGTGTTTCATAAAAGCTCTCTTTCAGCCAGGTCAGCGGGGAATGTGCTGAGCTACCATGAGCAGCGACCGGAGTCCCTGATTTCATCTGCCTGCTTCACGGACTGCACGTCTACGTGCGATCCCAACTCCGTGCCTCGGGGACCGCGGTCTGAGCTCCGTGTGTGCCCCAACGCATTACCCGGCTTTCGTAACTAGGATTACACCAACATCTTCTTAATGTCTGTGGCACCCTTTGTCTGTTCTAAAGAGTGTAACTGTTGACCCTGCCTCATACTCGCTGGTGCTTCTACCACGGTAATTTCTGCTGTCTTTGAGTGCCTTCCAATACTCATTAAGCACTGTGACTTCATATATCCCTTACGTGTCGTTTCTTTTTTCACCTTCCCCCGGAGGAGCTGTGTACACAGCAGAGCACCTTGGACACAGTGTCTGCGGCCTGGTGCCGTGGGTTTAGCCGCTTTTCCCAGGGCAAGTTTACCTTGGACTATGAATATAGTTTCCAGGCTCGACTGGGGCAAGTATCTGACAAGTGAAGCTTCAAACGCTTCATTCATCAAAACCAGTTACACTCACCAAAACAGACCACTGTATGAAAAACTCAACATGCACACACACACGCACACACATACATATAAAAAGGATTTCTTTTAAGAAAACATTTCTTTTACAAAAACAAAAGAATCTAACATGCCCCTTAGATTTTTGACGGGTCAGCTACTAATCGGTATTTATAGCTGCTAAAACCTGTTTTCAGCCTTGAACCAAACAATCCCCTGGCTCCAATGACTGTTACCCAGAGAGTAGCTGAGAAGGGAGCAGCCACAAGCAGAGGAGGCCAGACAGAAAAGAGGAGAAGTAATTTATTGATTCTTCTGATCCCTCCCTCCCAGCCTTTTATTACTGCCGGGTGCTCTGAGCAGAACCATCCCAGATTCCCCCACCCCTGCTTGTGTTCGCTCAGATTGCTGCAGCACGGCCCTTCATAGAAATAACCAGCGGAACACCAATCAACTAATTCATCTACTTGTGGGGGGGGGGATGTTCTAGCAAAATGACCTCCAACCAAGCGTTTCTTTTACCAGGGTGCACGCTTGCGTCGACTAAGTAAGCGTATGAAATTCCTTCTGCCTTCTGTCATCACACCTGATTAAACATCACATATACGCTGTATTTCCAATAGTTGTACTATCTTTCTCCTGATCACTTGCAGGCTGGTACTAATCAAAGAGCTCCAGCTGTAACGGCAAGAACACTGACCTTATTGTAAAGCACCAGAAAGACAGTCTCTGCTCCAAAGACTGTACCTGATTCGAATTGGACATGGGCAAACGTTCCTGTCTTTCTCCTGCAATCCTTGCCCAAGTGACCTCCAGCGTAACTTTGGTGGCCTGCAGCTTCCCAAAACGCCCTACGATCTGTCATGGCCCTTGTGACTATTTT